GGATTGGCGGCCCAGCCTCGATGTGGGGGGCTCCAGTCCACCTGCCCCCACCCTTCAGCACAGGCTGGGCAAACCCCAGACAAAACTCCTTCTCCTTCTTCCCCCACTTCCGTCCCGAAGTCAGTACTAGGGATGGGACTGAGCTGCATCAGCCCAGCCCTGCTTCCTGGAGTACACTAATGTTAATGAAGGCACTCTGCTTTGGAGCACCTTCATATGAACCTTCATGTAATAAGGGTTCATTTGCCATGAGATCAGGTACTTATTAAAGCACTCTGCTGCTGTACAGTACTGTCAGTGCATGGCTGTAGAGTACTTTCAGTGGGTGATCACATGAAAAACCATCACTTCTGTCAGCACCTCAAGTGAGCCTTGTATAAATCTCTCTCAGATGCCATTTCAACCACAAAATTAGTTATCCTGTGGAGGTACTGAACTGAATTGGCTGGCTGAAAGAAGCATTTCCACTTACATTCAACGGGTGTATGCCATTAATCCAAAGCAATATACCCTGGTGCATATCACACTAGAGTTTATTGTACTCAGGCACTGCGCATTTACACATGCTCCCAGGAGTGCAGCACTGGAGCAGCCTCAGCTGACAGGGTGCCCAGGCATCAGTTTGCCAAGCATAAAAAATGGTAGTGGTATCAGAAGACAGGAAAAAGAAAGAAGGAACAGTGCTAGAGAAGTTGAGGAAGGGGTTTATTGTATATCTATCCTCAGCGTTTTCCTTCACCAGACACTGACACCTACCTACTAAATTCTGGCCTGTGAAATGGAACAGAATCTGAGCAATTCTGATATACACTTCTCCAATAGAACTGCCAAGAGCATCCTGTTTTTAGCTATGTATTTACTTTGTGTAGTTAATGTGTATTGGACAGGTTCTGCCTTGACTTATGTTTTTGTAACTCTCAGTGAAGTCAGTAGTAGTTCTCTGAATATATCTGAGGGCATGATTGTCCTTCAGTACTGGCATCCAGTGCAATGCCAGCTCTTACAGTGCAGGATGCATAACCAACTTCTCTACTTGGAGATGCTCAAACTTATTTTTAACCAAAAAAAAATCTTTCTAAATGCCTATGTCATGCCCATCTTTAGACACCATTTTTACTATTAGGTATACTTATTACAACAGGACCTATAGCCAAGAAAGAATGGAGGTTCATTGGATTAAGCCAAGGGTGCTCAACCCTCAGTCCATGGGCCAAATTTAGCTCCCAGCACCATGTCATCCAACCCATGGGGCTCCCCAAGGGTCCATAGAGAGCCCCATGGGCCATGAGGTCCAATCCCAGTGCATGGGGTCAGGTGGGCCCTGATTCCAGCCTTTGGGAGCCAACCAAGGATGCCTGGAATCAATCCAGGCATGCAGGCCCAAAATGCAGGGTTAAACTAGGCCTACAGACTGGGTTAAGCAGTTTACAGAGTAACAAATGGTTCCTGCCCCGAAGAGCTGAAAATTTTAACAGATGAGAATGAGGGAGTGGTGGAAGAAAGAAGCGGAGTGAACTACATGATGGCAGAAAACATCATGTTAGTTCCATCTGTTTCGGGATGGGGGGAGATGGGATTCTAGATATAGTTACGAGAAGATAAGCTAAAGGGAAACAGAAGTGAATGGAGAGAGGAAATAGAAAGGAAGGGAACTGGGGACAGGAAAATCAGGTGTGGTATGGAAGTAGAGATGGTGAAGTAGTGTAGGGAGAGGGTTATAGCAAACAGCCAGTCACCATGAGCATAGAAAGTCCAGTCAGAACTGGAGACAGTTCTTTGAACATCTAGAGTTTTGCTTTGTCTGCTTCTGCAGCTGTTTTTACTAGCTGGACTTTCTGGTTGGTTCCTCTATGTGGTCTTCTACAAGGACATATGCTAACCTTAAGAAGGCACCATCTTGGTCTTAGTACCTCTGGAATGCTGGCAGGATCTCACCTACACAATTCTAAGTCTGGGAGGTGCTGGAGGAAGAAGTGACCTTGAATGGTCTCCATTTTATCAATTCCCCACTGTGCAGCAGTTTCTGAAATGGCTGCTTCTGCCATTGTACATCATGCTTTTTTCCAGCCATGCATTTTGACTGTTGACCCAATTGCAGTCTGACAAGAAAACAATATCACTAGCCTATATTCAAGAGTACCAATATATATAGGCCAATAAGCCAAACACATTTTCACAATTTGGAGAAAGTCCTTGGAAAATATTGACCAAGTCTTCTCATTGTCCACTAATATCAATGAAAATCAAAACCACTCAGCACCTCAACAGGCCTGGGCCTATCCAAAGTAGCTGAAACATTTTACACAACCATTCAGTGCATGCAATGGCAATTATATTTCCTGTTAATGTGAAAAAAAAAAAGAAAACAACACTTTACATAAGATGAGTATTATAGTTCATAATATTCTAGGTGGGCACTTTGGGTTTTTGATATTACCATTAGCGCTCATATACATAAGGGTTATGGTTTATTTTATGATTATGGGATTTTAGAATTAAGTTCCCTAGGCCAAAATTAGCATTGATTTCAATTTAAAGTTTGAATAGCACTTTCTTAGTATTTATAAAACCTGAAAAAGAAAGAAGAAATGCTTTTAGCCAAAAATAAGTACAGAATTACAAGGCTTATAAAATCAAGGGAAATAGCAGGGTCATTGTGGGCCTGATCACTAAATGACAGTGTCATTACATGTAGTGGGAGTTTGGCCAAGAACACACGATAGAAGAAATATATTTGTTCTTCACTGTCATAACCAGTCATGGTCACAGTCTGTTACTTCTACTTTGGACTATTCTTATTTCTACTTTTCTTTTCATCTCTAGTAAACTGTTTAGAATTATCATTTTGACCAAATCTGATTTTGTCCTGCAATTGAACTACTCAAACGTAGATGTCATAGATTTTCTTTTATATATATTTTATATATCATGCCATTTATGGTGCATAAGATTTGCAGCATCCTTGATGTATATTTTCAATATATCACACAATATCAAGGAAGCTAAAGTGCAAGAAAGTAGATCCTGTCAGCAGTTTCATCCAGTTGGAGCTAGCTATTTTCAGAGTTCACCCATTTTGACTTGCAACAAAGATCATTTTCTTCTGTCTTCTTTAAGTATATTTTACAGGTGGAACATTTGGCTAACAATAAAGCTTTCAAGGTTTAAAGTTTGAAAGTTTCAGTCATAACACCCAAAATTTTGGATACCACATTTTTGGATGCTGCGCTTGAGATACCATAGGTTTGAATTTCAGAGTATCATGAGGACCTACAGCTTCCACTGTGGACATTTAGAACTTCTGATAATCAAATAAAAGGCAATTAAAGCCAAAAGCATAAAAATGAAAACTAAGCAAAGACTTCTGAATAGACTTTCTATCACTAAGATTGATCTATCACTTAAGACCAATAACTTAGCTGTTCTGATATCATAGTGATAAGGATGGTATACAAATGTTGATGAATTAAGTCAAAATGAATATATCAAAATGAATTGTAGTTTGCTGGATCCTGAAATCACTATTATTAAAACATTATTCATTAACACCTTTTTATATTAAAAGGTGTTTTTTAGCAATAGCAAAAAAAAAA